TGCTAGATCCCGTTGGCTTAAATAAACCGGACGGTGACGTAGTTCGATCCCTCAAATATTACACTGCCGTGAAGTTCATATATAGCGGATTTTTTCTTATATTTTCGACCGCACACAGTAGAAGGAAAGGGAGGCGACTGCGCTCAAAACTGTGATTTGGTAGGAAGATCCAGTATTTTCAGACAGGTGTCATTGTCTCTCGACCACCCGCGCCAGTGTTGCATCCTTTCCTCCTCTCCCACCTTCCTTTCTCTCGCCCTGCTTTCTTGAGTTGTCACCGACTATAGGTATGAATCTTGCCCACCCCTCCTCCCCCTTTTCAACGCCCAGTAAGGTTGAATGTTTGTTTACTTTGTAATCTGTAATTAGGGAGTTTTAGAATAACGTACGCAATTTTAGCGCACGCCAGCGCTAAATTTAGCGCTTGTATTAGCGACGCGATGCAAGAGAGTTTTAGAATAGCGTTTCTCCGTCGCGACGCAAAAAACTGTATCAGCTCGCGCTTGCGACGCCACCAAGATACACTCAAAATTTTTATTTCACACACGAAATGCTGCAACATTAGAAAAAAAGAAAAGCAAGTTTTTTTGGTTCAGAGTAACAATTTAGATTTGTTTAAACATGAGAATGCGACGCGAGCGGTTGACCGGTCGTGTCCGCTTGTGTCGCCTCGGCAAGAGAGGTCTCGTGTACTGACCTTCGCACATCGTACCTTCGCCGAGAAATGTTCGCGCGTCGCAAGCATCAACTTGTCGGTGATCGTTGCCAAACCGAGTACAATGTCGTCCCGTAATGAAAATCGCACTCGCGAGGATGCCGCCGACGTCGCACTCACGACGCCGCCAAAGCAGCCGCCGACATAATCCTGGAAGCCGCCATTTTTTTAACTCTGCTGGTCTTGGCTTTAGCCAACTTCTCATCACGAATCCTGCTTGGAGAAGCGCAAAGGCTCTTTGCGTACGCACGCTATTTCCGAGAAATAGCGCACGCTAAAATTGCGCACGCAATGCGCGAGACCTGGTTTGCGTTCGGAGCATGCGCAGTGGCGACGACGCTATTCTTTGCGTACGCAAACCTTTAGCGTGCGCTATTCTATTGACGCAAGATTGTATGCTTATAACATAGTCAACGAAGCACCTTTTTTCATATCCATTTGGAACTGAGAGCGAAAGCAAGCGATGCCAATCGAGTGTCAGCAAAAGCGTATCGTCTTGTGCTTAGTGTGAAACGAAGGATATTACCACGTGCATGATCGAGGGGATACGCTCCTCCGTTCATCTAGAAGATTCGCGTGCACCCTTACCCCGCGCGTAAACGATAAGGAGGGCAGAATGACCCTGCCTAGTTAACGCCCCTGAACAAGAAAGGTAGCGACTAGGGTGTAGCGACATCGTCTCCCTCCTCCACTGACGCGCAGACCTTTTATCTTTGTGTTTTGCTCTTTTAGAGCCACGCGTCCATTGTAGCGCCGCCTGGATCGCTCCAAGATATCAGACGGCCTTCCTATACATGAGTCGGAGCAAAGACAAAGTCTGAAAGACACGCGAAATACATACACACAGGCTCAAAAACGCACTGTCACGGTCTACCAGCCTCGAAGAATGTGCTCAAAGAAAGACGATGAAAGCCGTGACGGTGCACAGTCGGCGTTATTTGATTGGTGCCATGAGCTCGTAGCATGCACTGCACTCCGACAGCATAGGCATTCCTTCTCCCTCCTTGTCTCTCATGCACACTCTTATTTTTATATTTTGCTATTTCGCGCTCGCGCGTCGACGGTAGCGCCGCCTGGATCGCTCCAAGATAGCAGGCGGCACTCTTCAAAGGATGTCGCTACTTTTCTGTATACAGGGGCTTTATGCCTAGTCAGTCTAGTCCTCGCTCTTCCCCCCCCCCCCCCCCCCCCGCCCCCCTTCCCGCCGAACGTTCTAGATCGAATATTCGAGATGACCAGCATAGTAGATAGAGAGCCGAGCACCGTATTGCCGATTCCCTCACTGATTGTCTCCCTAGCGATAGCCGGCTGTTACGCCTAAAGGCCTCCGTAGGAAGCTCTTATCTAGGGGTTTCAGTTACGCCGATGTACCCGTCGCTTGCTGATGCCGCCGTTCGACGCTCGCTGCTGCTTTCTCGACGTGTGTTCTTCTTCTTTTTCGTTTCTGGCGCAAGTTCGCTCTCATTCAATCATTAGTTGATTTGGTATTTTGCTGCCTCATCATCTTTGATTCGTGACAATTTCATCCGTGTTTTCGCGTCGCCGGCTTTGCGCCTGCTGCACGAGAGGAAACTTTAGCGCAACTCTGCGCTTACCATGTGCTTCACTTCCTTCTAAAGTCCCCTTAGCTCTTTCTCGAATATTCGACTTCGAATGTTCGGGAAAGAACTATGGCGACGCTGACTAGGCAAGGTCACGCTGGCTTCTTTGTCGTTTACGCTCGAAGTAAGTGTCTACGCGAATCTTCTATACTCGTTTTCACCTCAAGAAAAAAAAAAGGGAGCTTTGCGCGTTGTTCATACGCCGCGCGGAGTTCTTGCAATCTTTGGTTGTCGGAAGCAAACACGGTGCTTTTGGAGTTTAAAACGTGTACGTGTTGATTAGGTAACATACATCTAATCTAAAATGCACCTATACATATATCTCGATTTTCAGCATAAAGAGGGATTTTTGTAATGCTCGGCGAGAAGCCGGACTTTTTTTTACTACGGTTCTTGAGGTGAAAAAGTACTTTAGATGAACGGAGAAGCGTATCTCCTTGATCATGCACACGGCAATGTACAGTGTGGGCGAAATGAATTGAACGCGTTTTAAACTGACCGCATAAATCGATTTCTTTGCTTATCGCGCTGGGATTTACTACGAAAGTGCCGGAAGTTGGTGGAAGCTTTCGCTAAAATTGGGCAAAAAGTGGCTCACCTGAGTACATAAAAAAAACATGTTTTCTCTACACTTTGCGTCAGCGATTTTCTGATGATTTTGGGATAAAAGGCTTAGTAATAATTTATACATAAACAATATCACCTTTTTTTATTTATTTTTATTTCGACTCTAGAGGTTTCGTGTATTCAAGCTCTCGATTAATGAATGTACCAGCTTCGAATACCTCTGCAGTAAATCTCAGCGCGATATGTTAAGAAACCGATTTGTGCGGTCAGTTTAAAGTGCGTTCAATCCATTTCGCCCACAGTGTATATAGGCTATATTTTGGTAGTAAATTGCAACGTCGTACTTTCCAAAGTGCTCTATGCCGTACTCGTTGTCTCTGCTCAGATCTTCTTTTCTTTTGGACGATCCACGCCTCCTCGAGAGTGATCGAGACGTGACACCTGTCACCTTGCACTCGACTGTCGTTAAGTGGAATGGATGATTGTAGATGTGCACCACCCTATATCAATCCTCCGACACAATATGTCATACTGTGAACAAGCGCGCATGCCAGCCATCTGTTCACCGAGGATACGACGACCTTTGGGAACCGTGCATCAACGAAGGAACATTACTTCAAGCCGGTCCTTCTAATCACAAGGGTGCTTGGATCTTAGATCTTGACCGAGAAAGTACGAGTTCAACCAGGGGCCAGAAGTAAGCTCCAGCTCGAGACGGGACAACTGAAGGACCTCCCTCCCGTTCTCAATCTGTTGGTGGCTATAATCTTTGAAATCTAGAGCCAGAAATAATTTGGGTGTGCCCACTTTTTTTTTCCATCCATATAATTCTTTATGTGTCTAACCTGCAAACGACTATACTTTGTCTCATTCGACGATGGACTAAAGGCCAAAGCCACAGGCGCCAGATCCAATCACGTTCAATGACACGCTTAACATTGATTAGGGGTGGACGAATAATGCTCGAATCCAAAAACGCCGCATGATTTCTATAGCTTCGACGCTGCAAAGAGCCTACATGTCGTGGCTTTCTTTGCCACGTAAAATTGTTGAGTCACTCAGTGCTCTTCGATTCGAGCCACTGTCCACCCGTCCCCTCATCAGTGACCCGAGACTCAGGCACCGATACGTGCATCGAAGCGAAATACCGCACAATTTCTAAGTGGCTCGTGATTGGATCTGGCGGTTCGTAGCTTTTGCCTTTAGTCCATCGTAGGGTGAGACGAAGTATAGATGTCTCACCAAACAAAAACACGGCTTCGTATTCCAAAAGTCATCATGCCACCGATTACCCAATGATAGAGTACATGTCCAAGTAGTACTAGTTTTTAGTCATTTTGGTAATCTTTGATTTACGAAAACTTAGATCTGGTACAATGAAATGTTAATCTGTCAGTGCCCATGGTCTATTGTATACAATCGGCGAATAGAACCACGGGTCCACGATAACTCGCACGGTGACGGCATATGAAAAATTACCCAGTGTCGTCTGGCGGCTGCGTGACAACCTACGTAAATCAGAAGGCCAATTTGACTCCCAGGTTTTCAGAAGGTAAAACAGAAAAAAAAAAGAAACGCCGAGCCGACGCAGTGAAACTACAACAAAGGATCAGTCGTGGACGTCATAAAACTTGGCTCGGTGACTTCTCATTTTTTTTTCTTTTTTACTCAGCAAACACCGCAAGGCCTGTCTTGTCGTGAGACACGGGTACACGTTTTTTTGAGTTGACATGGAGATTCGGTAAAATAATTTAGGCAATACTAGCCGACACAACCAGGTGCTTGTCAGCAAGACAGGTGTGCGGTCCCACGGCGAAACAATGAATTACTGATGCAACGCCTGGGCTCACTACATAAAGTCACTTGGCCATTCCTTAAAGTGTCCACTTGCTGTATTCCCACGTAGCGTGAAGGCATTCCTTGCTTAAGCTAAATAGAGTTTCTTGAGATACGTGTGATCGCATAAAAACAGTGTTAGGGGAAAAAAATAAAACAGTAAATAAACTCAAACTTTCTTCACGTAAATTTGGGAAAAAATCTAAACCAGAAAACTTTTGTTTTAATAGTTTATCACGATTAACAGCTCAAATAGCTATGTTCTTGTGAATTTATTTCAGGAAGTGTACCAGAAATCATACACTATATTGGTAACTAAGTATTACTGCAACTCAGGAAGTGACTAAAGCAGGGCCGTTAGTAAGCAAACAATCCTTTCTTATGCAGAAAGTTCAGAATCGATTGTCTTCTGCCGAAATACCCTCAACAAATTGGGGTGTGGGTATTCTTATACAGCCTGCCTCAACGGGCGACTTGTCTCTCAGCTGTAGATGAGAAATTTAGCCAGCGCAGTACAACCGCTAGTCCGTGATGTTTAACGTGCATCATGCTGTAGTGACACACGACCTCACGCCGGTACGATGCTCATCTAGATCGAAACGGGCAGGGTTGGGGATCGAGTCCAAGATCCCTGGGTTCTGCAGCGCGAGCTTTCGTTTCACGTGCTTCGAGCTGGTGTGCGGCAGCCCACTGGGCCACCGATCCTCCCCCCGAGAAATACCCTAGGCTGGCCAAGAATTGTATTCCATACTAACGACTCTTGTTCATGGATAAACTTCGAATGAAGAGAGTGACTCTCATAAACTTACTACTAGTCTCCATAATTAGTTAAACTTACACCAATAAAGGAACAGGACGTCTGTGAAAAAATATAATGTTGAGTGTTTAATTCAGCGAGTACAAGTAGGCCTTCGGATGTGGCCGATACTATACATCGTTTCGCAGAGTGTAATCGGGACGCTCGGTTTACTCATGAATATATGTCATAACTCTTTTGGACACATTTGTCCTATCGTTAAGTTAGCTAGAGTGAGTAAGCCTAGCCTGCCTTGACGTCATTCTCAGTGGGATGCCTCTCCTTGAAGTACATTTTTCTGGCAAGACTTGATTACATCCAAAAGATTAACACGTGGTTTGCGTAAAAATGGCATCGACGCACCCGTAAAAGGCAACACCTCAACCCAGATGGCGCTGTTTCTCGTGTGAAGAGCTTTAGGGCTGCGCATTGTTCAAATGCGGTTACGCATGCGTATATTTCGAACGCTGTCCTGTGACTAAAACTGAATGAAAGTTCTACGTTGCCTGAAACGGGTCTTCGGCTGGGGTGTTTAGCGTATACCCGGCCCATGTACTTAAAGCGGTCCAGAAGTGTCACCAAATGACGTCACGGAAGCTGGCTTGCTTTGCTGTCAGATATTGTGATCCTGGTGGTTGGTCCTAGGACTGCTAGAGAGGGGTCGATCTCGTCACAGCGTCCCATCTCATGTCTGCTTTGGTATGCATCGAGTCTAGATGCAGATCGACCTGCGCAGGACAGGCGTCTGTTACATCCGCCTTTGCTGCTGTGCCACAGCCCGGATCGCGGCAGGCAGTAGCATGGCACTTTTATGACGTCCTCAGGCGGAAATCTAGGGACCAGTTTTGAGGATGCGCTAAACACACCAGCAGGAGGCGGGCTACAGGCATCATACCACCACAAAGTGATCATCATTTAAATGCACACGATATGAAGTCGAAAGAAAATGACGGCTTACTCACTCTCTCCGCGCTGGAAGATACACCGGAAGTTGTTGTTGGCGTTAGTTCCGTCGCGGAAGACGATCACCGCATTGTTGTACGTCAACTCCAAGGTTCTTGTTCCAGGCTGATTTGCGTTACAGAAACTGGAGGAGCGAACGCACATTTGGCATGTTCGATTTGGCAAGTTATTCTCGCTAGTGGTTAAGATCCAGCACTCGAAGCATAAAGACATACAATATTTTCTGAAATAATACACTTGCGAGCTGCGTACCACACCCCGGAAAATGAAACAAGGCATAGAACAAATAAAAAAGCTATTATATTCTGACATAAAGTCCTATACCACCAGCTAGTATTGCCACGTAAGTTTGCCCTCGAGAACGGTAAGCTCTGCGTCGAGGCAAAAACCTCTCCTTCTTTTCTTTTCTTTCTGTTTTAGGAAAGCGAGTGCGCATTTGTTTTTCGCATGAAGTTTCACCTAAGGTCCCTAAATAAGAATGCTGTGACATATTTCTTCTCTTTCAGAGTGCCCACTTTATTTATTTTAGAGCGCAGCTCTTAGGGGCCCGTTCCCGGCTTGAGCGGCGTCGGCGTCGCCGTCGCCGTCGGCGTAACCAAGGTCATCCCAAGGTCACTTGACCCCCAAGGTCATCCCAAGGTCACGTGACCCCAAGGTCACGTGACACCCAGTCACGTGGCTCCCCAAGTCACGTGAGCCCCGGGGTCACGTGACCCCCGATGACGTCATCAGTGACGTCACTGATGACGTCACCGGCATCCGCATCGTCAGCGTCATCATCACTGATGACGTCATCAGTGACGTCACTGATGACGTCACCGGCATCCGCATCGTCATCGTCATCATCACTGATGACGTCACCGGCATCCGCATCGTCATTGTCATCATCACTGATGACGTCATCAGTGACGTCATTGATGACGTCACCGGCATCCGTATCGTCATCGTCATCATCGCTGATGACGTCATCAGTGACGTCACTGATGACGTCACCGGCATCCGCATCGTCATCGTCATCATCACTGATGACGTCACCGGCATCGTCATTGTCATCATCACTGATGACGTCATCAGTGACGTCACTGATGACGTCATCGGTATCCGCATCGTCATCGCTACTGATGACGTCATCGGCATCGTCATCGTCACGTGACCCCCTAGGTCACGTGACCTCCACCCAAGGTCACTTGACCCCCCCCCGTACCCTTCCCTCCTCCTCCTCAAGAGCTGCGCTCTAATTCGGCGTTACAGGGAGTTGTAAACGGCTTTCACTTTTTTTTTTTCTTCCTTGCAGTTATTGTTGTTGCGATCGTCCCAGCATAGCAGGGAGCAGATCTAAATTTGGTTAAGTATAAAGTAAGAGTGAAGTCAAAGGCGCATGCAAACGGCATACACTCAGGCTAAAAGCGCATTGTCACGGGGCACTTTTTGGATCTTATTGTGTTAGCTGTCAAGAACACATCCAAAGGAAGACAGTGAGTGCCGTGACGTTTAGCTTGTTGCGTTTCCCGATTGGGGCCATCAGCTCGTAGCCTCCACTGCTCTCTAAAGACGTAGGTATTCCTCCTCCCTCCTTCTCTTCATTCTCCTCTACCACGCACACTGTTTTATTTATATTTTTGCTCTCCCTGACGGCCCTGACTCGCCCGCCATCATGATAGCCCCATAATAGCAAGAGGCGCTCTTCAGAGAGTTTCTTTTTTTTTTTTTTTTTTTTTTCATTTTTCCGTATGGGCTTCTAGCACTGAACTCTAAAAGTTCGAGCTGCGTCACGTTGCGACAATTTAGAAATCAGCTTAGTGATGCGAACAAATGCCGAGATATGGCCCTAGCTTCAGATCAACGAGCCGTGAGGTGCTGGGTTAGTTACCGCCCCCAAAACGAAAAAAAATGTGCGGAAGGTGGGTGTTAAGGAAGAGATCCCGGGCACTTCCGTTTCGATGGTGTCGGTTTATCGTTCTCCCTCGTGCCGTTCATAATCTCGTGGTTCTGCACTCCTCTACCTGCTTTTCCTCTCGTTACCTGCTACCAGATGGCATAATCTACAACAACTTCCCGCGCCGGCCTGGAGATGAGACCATGCATTCCCATACCGCGAGATGAGGAAGTTTAAGACAGTACAGAGCAGCGCAGTAAACACAAACCCATGAAAGGTCAATGGGGATACAAAAATACACAAAAGTTGAATCAACACTCCGCCGAATCCCCACACAGTTTGAGTGAAGTCATGGTAACGCAATGCTTGTAGCAAACAAGGGGTGTCCATCGTTTTGTGCCAATTCTTAATTTGATAAGTTTCCTTCAAGAAGGAGAAGGCCTTGCATAGGGCGCCGAATTTCTTGTCCGCTCGCAAGGCGAACCGCGCAGACTCTTCGTATGCCGTCTTTTCCAAAAAATGTCGGTGTTATTCTTCCAAATTTCCATAGAAGCGGTGGCGTGTCGTCCTTTATGATAACAATGTCTTTCGGTTACGTCCGGCGGACGCCCTCAAAGCCGACGCCGACCTCGACCGAGGTCTCGGCTTTCGCCACGAACCCGGCGCGTTCCTGGGCTCCTGCTCGAAGTCAAACTCCTCTGGATCACTCCTAGACCTTCCGCGACGCCAGCGGTAGTACCTCGCGTAGAAGCGCCGATGTGGCTTCCGCTGGACTCGGGTGTACCTGTATTCGTCCTCCTCTCCAAACTGGAAGTGGGGTTTTATGTCTTCCGCGGGTAGTGAGCTCCTGGTCATACTTCTGTAACGGCGGTAGTAGCGGCGTAAACAGGGTCTCCCAGGCTGCAGCCATCGCTGTGGTGGCGGTTGTGGCCGCGGCAAGTCCGGCACGAGCACAACGTCATGGAAGTCGTCCGAGTCCTGCTCACCATGGCGCGGTTGGGCGTCGGTCGGCGTTGACTCCGTCTAGGAAACCAGCGACCTCTGAAGCGTCTTCCGTCCATGGTATAAGGGAGGAACTGCACGGGCTCGCCTTCGGGACCTGTCACATTGGCGGCCTCGTGTCCCTTCTCGCCTACGACGACGTCAAACTCGACGGTTTCGCCCCCGTAAACCGTGCGCGTGAGCTTCTGCGGACGGTTCCGCATGATGGCGGTCTGGTGGACGAAGATGTCTTCCCGCGTGTCGTTGCGCTTGATGAAGCCGTAGCCATCCTTTACGTTGAACTGCTGGACGGTGCCCAGCACCCGCTCGGCGAGCACGGGTTTCTTCGTGGTCATTTGCATGGCGCCAATGTCGACGGTGTGCGCTTTTCGGCGTTGCCCAGTAATACTTGCTGAAGGGTGAAAGATGGCTCGAGAGTACGTTCCTTGGACCATCCACCCAAATATCGTTTCTACGGCGGTGAGGTCGTCTGTCATGCGCTGAATCCGTCCCGTGACGACTTGCCAGTAAAAGTCTGAGCCTATAAGAACGCCGACGTCGTTGTCCACTCTGCCTTGAGCTCCAGCAGGGATGATATCTGCGGCTTGAAGTCCGCTGGAATGAAGTTGCCTCAGTAGATTGTCATCTAGCTGCTGGTGTGATACTGTGCACAGGTCAGGGACTTCCAGTGCTTCAAGTGATG